TTTCATTACAAGATTTCTCTAATAGAGGATTACTGCTTCGAAGGAAGGTATTATATCAAGAATTTCAAATTGTAAATTTTAAGTAATCCCTTCGAAAATTTTACGAACGACATCATGAGTTTGGTGATCGTTATAGAATATAGGCTTTACAGATATCTTCCAATTGTCGTAACCACAATCCTGTTTTCCCCCATCAAATTTGAAATCACCGAATAAGACATATAACCGAATGTGTAATAAATGAGAAACAGAACCGGTGCCACATGTGTAGCAGGATATGCTTACCCTTCTGGAACACCTCAGACTACCCCCAGCTTTTGGCGGAGTTCGTGGTGCTCATTTTCTAGTTTATTATACATGCAATGTGTTTGGTAGATCTTTGTTTGTTTTTGGTCGTTATTCGTTTATTTGCCATGATGATGTCAGTTTGTCTTTAACTTATGAGTTTGGTATTTTTCTCCTTTTTGAAATATTTTCTATTTTAGAGAAAAGATTTTTTTTCTATTATTATATAAATAAGAAGATGTGGTATGAGTGCCAATGAGACAACTCTCCATCCAAGTCACAATGTATAAAAAGTAAACAATTATAGGTTAAATTACGGCCTTCAACACGGAGCCTTGGGTCACACCGAACAACAAGCTATAAAGGGCCCCAAAATCATTAGTGTAAACCAATTCAAACAGGAAAACCATCAGTCTAATCTATATAAGAAACGAGAAACACTTATGAACCACACCAAAAAACGACAAACACTGAACAAAAGGCTGTAGTCTAGAATATTTTTTAATTTCATTTTTAGCTCACCTGGCCCGAAGGGCCAAGTGAGCTTTTCTCATCACTTGGCGTCCGTCGTCCGTCGTCGTCCGGCGTCGTCCGTCGTCGTCCGGCGTCGTCCGTCGTCGTCCAGCGTCGTCCGTCGTCGGCGTTAACTTTTTACATTTTGAACTTCTTCTAGAGAACCACTGAATGGAATGAAACCAAACATGGCATGAATGTTCCTTATGAGGTGCTGACCAAGTGTTGTTACTTTGTAGCGGATCCATCATCCAAGATGGCCGCCAGCGGGGGACTTAGTTTAACATAGGACCCTATGGGAAATGCATACAAATGTCTTCTTTTAGAGAACCACTGAATGGAATGAAACCAAACATGGCATGAATGTTTCTTATGAGGTGCTGACCAAGTGTTGTTACTTTGTAGCGGATCCATCATCCAAGATGGCCGCCAGCGGGGGACTTAGTTTAACATGGGACCCTATGGGAAATACATACAAACGTCTTCTTTTAGAGAACCACTGAATGGAATGAAACCAAACATGGCATGAATGTTTCTTATGAGGTGCTGACCGAGTGTTGTTACTTTGTAGCGGATCCATCATCCAAGATGGCCGCCAGGGGGGGACTTAGTTTAACATAGGACCCTATGGGAAATGCATACAAATGTCTTCTTTTAGAGAACCAATGAAAGGAATGAAACCAAACATGGCATGAATGTTTCTTATGAGGTGCTGACCGAGTGTTGTTACTTTGAAGCCGATCCATAATCCAAGATGGCTGCCAGCGGGGGACTTAGTTTAACATAGGACCCTATGGGAAATACATACAAATATCTTCTTTTAGAGAACCACTGAATGGAATGAAACCAAACATGGCATGAATGTTCCTTATGAGGTGCCGACCGAGTGTTGTTACTTTGAAGCCGATCCGTAATCCAAGATTGCCGCCAGCGGGGGACTTAGTTTAACATGGGACCCTATTGGAAATACATACAAATGTCTTCTTTTAGAGAACCACTGAATGGAATAAAAGCAAACATTGCATGAATGTTCCTTATGAGGTGCTGACCAAGTGTTGTTACTATGAAGCTGATCCATAATTCAAGATGGCTGCCAGCAGGGGACTTAGTTTAACATAGGACCCTATGGGAAATACATACAAATATCTTCTTTTAGAGAACCACTGAATGGAATGAAACCAAACATGGCAAGAATGTTCCTTATGAGGTGCTGACCAAGTGTTGTTACTTTGAAGCTGATCCATCATCCAAGATGGCAGCTAGCGGGGGACTTAGTTTAACATAGGACCCTATGGGAAATACATACAAATGTCTTCTTTTAGAGAACCACTGAATGCAATGAAACCAAACATGGCATGAATGTTCCTTATGAGGTGCTGACCAAGTGTTGGTACTATGAAGCTGATCCATAATCTAAGATGGCCGCCAGCGGAGGACTTAGTTTAACATAGGACCCTATGAGAAATACGTACAAATGTTTTCTTTTAGAGAACCATTGAATGGAATGAAACCAAACATGGCATGCATGTTCCTTTTGAGGTGCTGACCAAGTGTTGTTACTTTGAAGCTGATCCTTCATCCATGATGGCTGCCAGATGGGGACAATGTTTAACAAAGGATCCTATGGACAATACATACAAATGTCTTCTTTTAGAGAACCACATACTGAATGGATTGAAACCAAACATGGCATGAATGTTCCTTATGAGGTGCTGATTAAGTTTTGTTACGTTGAAGCTGATCCTTCATCCATGATGGCCGCCAATGGGGGGGACTTCCTTTAACATAAGAACCTATGGAAATACATACAAATGCTTCTTCTAGAGGTGCACTGAATGGAATGAAACGAAAACATGGCATAAATGTTTCTTATGAGGTGCTGATTAAGTGTTGCTACTTTGTTGCCGATTTACTGTTCAAGATGGCCACCAGGATTTTTTATTAAATTACAGGACCAATATTAAACCAAATTTGGCCTCACTCATTATTAGGGTATCTGTTATGATTTTAATCTATTTTTACATGATTTCCAAAACCAAAGTAGAATCAGGTGAGCGACACAGGCTCTTGAGAGCCTCTAGTTTTTTATCAGAAACACTTATAGTATCATCGTTATAAGATAAATTTTCACCTATCTGCTATACATCGCAAAGAAATACACAAGTTAGATGTAATAACACACATTCTGCACATGTAGTTTTAAACTTTTACACTTATTTACATTCTCCACATGTAGTTTTAAACTTTTAGACTTATTTACGGACTAACTGTCTTGTAAATATTGACGCAAAACATTCACATATGATTGTATAAAAAATTTTGTGAAAAATATAAACAACGAAAATCATGAGAATAACACTAGGATTTAAAGAAATTAAAGTTTAACACTGACAGATATGTTGTTTATATTCAATATAAATGGGAGTGCATGTTTACTGTGCTTTGGTTCACGTGTACTGAAATAGATATGACTTTGTGGAAATTTGCTACATGTACTAAGTCACATTATAATTCTAATTAGAGAAAATTACATAAATTAAAATAAACAATTTGTTTACTGTTATGACCGAATCGCTGTCATTTGTTTACTGTTATGACCAAATCGCTGTCATTTGTTTACTGTTATGACCGAATCACTGTCGTATATAAGTTCAATGATCTCATAAGAATGTTTGTACTTAATTTTTACTTATTACACAGTCCTCCTTGTGAATTTTTACAACACCTACAGTAGACTTAGCTTGCTATATGTATGTCTCTCCTAATTTTCTTTTTTTCTTCAATTTTACCCCTTTATCAAGTTTACTGCTATAACTAAGAGATTGTCATTATATTGAGAACTGCAAGAGGCAATCAGTATACTGGGGCATTCAGTATCATGGCAGTTTTCATTAATCATATAAATTAGTAAGAAAGAAATAAAAGAAAGGGAATTGTAGCAAGTATATACTTACAGCAAAATTATTCCCAGTCAGTAATTCTATTCTAAACATAATCTTTGTTAATATTTACAATGAAATTTTATTTTTTTGGCGCTAAGATTTACAGTTGAATATTTGACTTAAAATCTGTAATTTTTAGAGCTACACATTACTAAACCAGCTTAGAAGAAACACCGTAAGAATTTGTATAGTATCTGCGTTTAGTTTAGGGAGCTACCATATGATTTTTAGGGGGGGCTAGGATGAAATTTAAAAAAAAAAGGCAGAACAGGTGTTTTGAGTAAAAAAAAAAGACAGGATGAGCAACTTGGCAAAAAAAAAAGGCAGGATGACAATTTATGTAAAAAAAATCAGGATAAACTATTAAAAAAAAGGCAGGACCGGATAGAGTGATAAATTAAAAGGCAGGACAGAGATTACAACTAAAAAAAATGCAGGACAAAATTTTTCATCCTAGCCCTTAGTACCTGTAATGTACCTATACAACATACTGATTATTGTCTGAAAAGCTTCTGAACTGCATCAGATTGAGTGCAAGGAAAATATCTTAAAGAGCCGAATTTATTACAATAAAATGTATGAAAAGTAATTTAAGCTCTTGACAAGAACTTTTAGTTAACTTTTTATGTTCAGATTTGTCAGATGCTGTTATGATCAAAGTGACCGTTTAAAAATAAAATTCATTCATAAGAGTAAGTGAAAATGAATGGTGAAAAAACTAGAAACTTATGTTGTGGGTTCATTGTGTTAACTCCAGAAAGATGGATGGTGAATCAAACTAGTAAACTTTGGGTGGCCTTCTGCTGTTGTCTGTTCTTTGGTCGGGTTGTTGTCTCTGTAACATATTCTCCATTTCCATTCTCAATTTTAGTAAACTTATGTTGTGGCTTCATTGTGTTAATTCCAGATAGATGGATGGTGAAACAAACTAGTAAACTTATGTTGTGGCTTCATTGATGTTAATTCCAGAAACATATTTTAAGAAAAAAAACATGACAAAAAATGGGAATTGGAGGGGGTGGGTGCTTTTTTGTCTTTGGGTCACTGTCTCATTAACGTATAATTCGTTATATCTCCGTGTACTCATATACAATGATATTTGTGTGAAAACACTATCTATGATAGTAATTAAATTATTTTTGTAACCAACATTATTTCATTACTTTCATAGCTGAAGAGTAGGTATATACCTGGAATTTATGATATAATATTGATATTATCTACATTGACAAAAGATGATTCGAATATATAAAATTGTACCTGTCCAAGAAGTCCTGAGTACCGCTGACATTGCTGAAGTATCCACATCTTTTGATTGCACTTGACATGTTATGTTCAAGGTCAAACAATTAGATATATTAGAACATTGCATTTCACAAAAATCATTCATCAACACATACTGATCCGAAGAATTCAGATATATATGAATACGTTCCGTCAGCTCAGGTAGTACTGTATTTGTCTTGTGATTGCTTACATTGTAAGAGAAAGACTTTTTTAAATCAATTTGACTGACATCTGCGAATGATATGGAAACAATAATATCTTCAATGACTTTTCCAACAGGAATTATGTCCTGGAAGGCAAAACTGACGTCAGAAATCCCATTAGTGGTTCTTGATAAATGTTGCATAAAAGGTCGAACTCCATGCCTATAACTGGTTGAATCTTTCACAGTTGTAATGGTTACGTTGTATGAAGAAGACACTTTAGGTATCCTGCCGCTCAGGAGAATAATAATTCCTATTGTAAGCGATAAGCTCATATTTGCAAAAAACAAAGATAAGAGGAGACCGTGTCGCACGATGGTAAGTCGTCAACATAAACTAACAAAAACGTGGGTGTCTTTCTGCTCATTAACTATGATATCATACGATGACGATAATATAAATATATATATATATATATATGAATGACATCCTATCTGTTTATTATTAAAAAATAGACTTCATTCATGTCTTCTTTAATTCTAGATATAAAAACAAACATTGGTGTCCAAGGAGTAACATTACCCTTATATAACAACTGTTACCATTCCTATATGATTATTGATAATTATCACCCGTAAATGATATAAACATATTTTATGTTATATTGTACTCAAACATTTAACATTTTTAAGCTTAAACTGCATTAAACAGTCCTGCGAGAATTCACTGTTAAGAGTGTTCTAAGCTACTCTATGATAGCAGTCGATCGGTTCATAAATAAATGATGTTTTTATTCCTGACTGGACTGTTTATGTCAGATGATCTGAAAACACATGGCTAAGCAGCAATATTGTTTTTATCAAATTGTGAAACTTGAATCCGCATAACAGTTTTAAATCATCATTGTTAAAGTAACACAAAGTTAATGTAAATGATTGATAACCGATAGTCATGATTCATCTTTGAGGACTAGTTAATATTTTATACAATGTAGGTTTTAATAGCGTTTCTTCGTTATTAACAGAAAACAGATTCAAAACCATTAAAAGGGGTAAAATATTGCTTTCATACAACGTTAAAGCAAACATAAGGAAACCAAATATGTCATACAGTAATACTTGTTACCTGATAATATTTTCTTTTTATTGTAAATCATTACAATTTTAGCATGTTGAGAGAAGTGATAAATATAAAGCAAGGAGAGAAAAAAAAAGATTCCCAGACGTGTAATTTCTTAAAGAATAATAATAATTCAAAACATGGAGGACACATGTACTTTCTTCCAAAAATTCATAAAATTAATCTAGAAATAAGTAATGAGGCATTGCGAACTGGTCAGCTAGCAGGACACATTAATGTTCGTTGCCGACCAATCATCAATAAGTGTAACTATCCTGCGAGAGATACTTACTTGATCTAATTATAAATATAAAAAAGAAGATGTGGTATGATTGCCAATGAGACAACTCTCCGCAAGAGACCAAATGACACAGAAATTAACAACTATAGGTCACCGTACGGCCTTCAACAATGAGCAAAGCCCATACCGCATAGTCAGCTATAAAAGGCCAGGAAATGACAAATGTAAAACAATTCAAACGAGAAAACTAACGGTCTAATTTATGTACAAAAAATGAACGAAAAACAAATATGTAACACATCAACAAACGATAACCACTGAATTACAGGCTCCTGACTTGGGACAGGCACATACATACAGAATGTGGCGGGGTTAAACATGTTAGCGGAATCCCAACCCTCCCCCTTACCTGGGACAGTGGTGTAATAGTACTACATAAGAACGAACTATAAAAATCAGTTAAAAAAGGCATAACTCATCAGATGGATACAAACAGAAATACTACACAGAGTGGACGTGGCCGGGTACTTGTATATCCCAACAACAAATAGACACTAAGTACAGATCTGAGAGTACTCGCAGTTACTGACAACTAGTTCAAAGCCACTAACAACAAATTAAAAAAATTATGCATCTAAGACTAAATTATCAATCCGTACACATCCAACATCCAATTATTGAAGAGGCATAACTTTTACATTCAAGATACAAAAAATTTCATTAATAGAATAGAGTCACACGAGGTAAAAAAAAGTATGCATTCTTATTGCCTATGATGTACGTCAATGTACACAAATATGATTATTGATAATTTAGAAGAAACTGTTATCAATGCATTAGAGTTTATTGACACACAGGAGAATATACATTAAAGATTCTCAACAAAATAGATTTAACTGTATTTGTTAAATTAATTCTTAGAAACAATGAATTTAATTTTAATGGACTGTTATACAAACACATCATACGAGCGCCCATGGGTGGTATATTGTCACCAACATGCCCAGATCTGCATCTGTCTGCCCTATTCATTAAAATCTTAGATAAGTTCCAATGGAGAGAAAACATCAAATTACAATGTCAATAGGGATGACGGTTTTATGGTCTTCACGGGCAAATAAGAGCAAGTTGAAGATTTCTTTAACCTTGCAAACGAAATTGACCATCTACTTAAGTTCTAATATGAGGTGTCGACATCTAGTATGGCCTATTCAGAGGGTAGTAAAGGGTTATTTTCGTGCAACGTTTTCGGCCTTTTTGTTTCACATGTTTCCGTGTTTCGACGTTTTATTTCTCGTTTTCTCGTGTTTGGTTCGATGTGCGTACTTCGTGTTTTCCCTTAATTATTTTCCGTGTTTCGTGTCGGTACTCTTATTTTCTCGTGCTTGTCCCGCATTTGATTAAAAAGTAAACCGGGACTAATTCAAAGTCAGCCCAAATATTGTTTTAAATTATAAACTAATTAACTGGTCCAAAGATATTTATTAATAGCCTATTGTGTTACTATGATAAATCGGATGCAAATAACGAACGCTAAAAGGTGACCACATGCAGGGTCGCCATGTCCATTTATAATGACTGCATGATCTCCAAGAACGGCTGAGTAATAACTTTTGGTACTTTTTTCCTTAATATTTACGATTTTATTCCTTTGCTTCGTTTTTCCAGAGTGTTTTTTTCCCGTGCAACGTTGTTGCGATTTGTTATTTCACGTGTTTCCGTGTTCAGATCCTCCCTTTTACCACCCTCTATTTAGATACCGAAGTGTACAAAAGTGAACGATTCCATAATAATGGAATTCTTGATGTTAAGTCACATATAGTGAAAACACAGAAACGTATCAATATTTACCAATCACTAGTGCACATCCAAAACACACATAAATTTAAGAGCATTACAGTGTGTGAATAACATAAGAAATTTCTACTTCTTCCACTAAGTGATCACCGTCATTTGGTTGACTATCCTGTCACTGTTTGGTGTGCGCTTGCATACTTAACAAGTCCAAAAATAATTTTAATAGAAAGGAAATAATTTGTGCTGTACATAACATTTATACATGGTGCAATAAAAACATGGGACTTGAAATTTAATGTGCATGCAGTAGTCTCTTGAACGAGTCAAGACTTTCTGCAGCGGTCACTGAAATGAAAGTGACATCAATGAATTAGATAAACATTTAATTAACTTACAAGACAACTTAATTGATAGAGAATACTGTAAGTAAAAGTTGTAAAAATGTATATTAACGAACAGTCTTTATTTTACTTGTTTTATTTTCATTTGAAACAGATTTTTGTTCATCTGATTTGTCAAAATGACAAGTGTGCATAATGATTTTATTGTTACAAATCAAATCCCAAAGCCCACTATAACTCATTATGTAGAAACCACAGCACTATTTTAAAATATCTCTCTGTGAATATCTAGACACAGATGTTTGATACCATGATAGGTCGTTATAATTAAATCTTGACCATTTAACTTTCACTTGTTTATCAAAGGGTACAACTGTCAACTTTGCTCAAGTCAGTAAACCCTTGCAATGCATAAAATGTAGCTTTACAATAAATATACATGTTTGAAAAGGATCTATAGATTGTTTATTATCATATATCAGATAAGTGAATTAACGATCTGTGAAAATTCTTTATTGCCATGTTTTATCATAATTATGTACTATTATTTGTCTGTTTGTCTTTTTATTTTTGGCCATGGCGTTGTCAGTTTGTTTTCGATCTGTGAGTTTGACTGTCCCTCTGGCATCTTTCGTCCCTCTTTTAGATATCTTAGATACACCGTATGGAGGTGCTCTTAATTGCAGGAAGCTAATACAGATAAGATGAATAGGTGTTCCGAATGAACAATAATTTAGCTTCCGAATGTTCCTCCATAGACTATATTTCTAACTAATATATATGCGTGAACCCCTGAGGGTTCACGCAATAAGATTGAGTGCGCATGACTTAGGTTTCTGAACCATCATGAATTACACTCGGGTGAACTAGTTTTGGAATCATAAAATATTGAGGATGTACTTAGGTGAAATTAAAAAATCTAGAATTCAAAATTGATACTATAAGTCAGAAGAGCATTAGTTAAGGAACAAAATAAGCGAAAAAGGCTGACTCGGACTTTTACCTTATATTTGGAAAAAAACCAAGGAGTCCGAACATTTGACAAAAATTCCTATACCTCACCTACATTGTAAGTACATCCGTACATCCTTAAAGATTATCAATACAGGGCCTTGATATAGCAGTTGAAGTTAGGTCAACATGGTGTAAGGGAGTAGCAAACCGTAGTTTAAGAAAATTAACAGAAAATCCATATTAATAATAAGAATGGTCTATCATTAAAATCGTATCAGCTGTCAAGCACTTTCTACATGGCTGAAAGTGTCCTCAAAGAAATTAAATATCCAACAAATAAATGCAGTAGTTGTATATTATCCATCCACGAATTAACTGCTCTCACAATAAAGTTTATCTTTCTCATATAGCTGACACAAAAAGCAAAATACAATTAATTATTTATCCAGATGATTTATTCAACAACAACGAAAAGTGTTGTTCCTTTGCTTAACATGGTCATTACTAAAAGTACATAAAACCTATTTTTGTTTGCGTACATAAGCTGTAGATGTCTTTTCTCCGTATGTTATTTTTGGCTGTACTTCATGGTAGATTTTTTTTTACCGAATAAAGAACTGTTGGTGCACGTCAATTAGACAGCAACACAACAACAGACAAAACTCGTTCAGATATTTTCAAACTTAAGATAACTGTTGATTGCCAGGCGTGGAAAACAACACTTTTTCCATTTGTTATTTTGAATCTCGGTCAAAGAAAAAGCATAAATTACAAAGATTACATACAACAAAAAATTACAGAAGCTTTTTAATCTTTAGCATTTCATATATGAAAACACAGACACAAGTAAAAAAATAAATTCAGATACCATATTAAACTAATAATCGTTTGAAATTGTTTTTTAATGTCAAACTCTAAAGCATCTTTACATAAACATGGCAACAATTTTCCAGACTTATGTATGTAGTGT